CCTTACATTTATCTGCATTTAACTTCCTTTGCGTACTATGTGTTCTGTCACAAAGTTGAATATCCATTTGCCCACTTTCCTCTTAATTCCAAACTCTTATTTTGTGTGCACTTGCCCCATGATCGCATATGACAAATACGAACAGTTGGTCTCATTTGGCAGATGTGATCATGGGGGCGATTGCACACAAATGAAGGTAACAAGCATAACGGGGGAAGTAGGCAAATGGGTATTAATCTTCCTGAGACAAACAACACAGTGGTAGCAAAGAGCAAAATTCAGCATTAGCGAAATGAAAACCTCAGTACCCCAAGCTATGGTCCTGGCACCTCTTGTTTTTTATCATAGTAGAGAGATAAAGCACTCGCCATATTTTCGTATCATTTGTGGATAATACCAAAATATGAAAATCATCTCGTTAGTAGCCACGAAAAAAATTCACGAAGATATAAGCAGTGTATTCCAGTGGACAGTAGAAAATTAAATGACGTTCCATGGTAACAAGTTCCAGCTGCTTAGATGTGGAAAGAATGAAGAATTCAAAAGGGACACTATAAACAACCCAAGATTATCAGATAGAACGAAAGGAATACATGAAAGATCTGGGAGTAATTATGTCTCAATAGCCAGGAAAATAGTGTGGATAATGAGAACTTTGCAAAAAAAAAAAAAAAAAAAAAAAAGTGCCAATGGTGACATTATTCCAATCACTTGGTATGAGTATTTTTCGGTAATGATGGCCCCATTCAGGGCAGGGGAGTTACCACGCTGGAAAACAAAGTATTGAAGTTATTGGGAATTCCTCAAAGTTCTAAATATGTACTCGATGGAGCGGACGAGAGATTCATATTATATACATGGAAAGTACTTGAGGGCCTGGTCCCAAGTCTGCACACTGTAATAACATACTTTGAGAAAATATAGCTACAAGAAACCCAGTGAAAAGCAGGGGCTCCGTGGGCACAAGAGAACATTGTATCAACATCCGTGGTCTCGCTGTACAATATCTTACCATCCGATAGCAAAAGCTGTTGGGACAAGCGTAGAAGTTTTCAGGAGGAAACTGGAAAAGCATCTCCTGGAAGTGCCAGATCAACTAAGCTGTGATGAATCTGTGGGCCAACTGACCTCCAGCAGTAACAGCTGGTTGACCAGGCAATCAAGAGAAGCCTGACCCAGGGCCGGGCTCCGGGAAAAGAAAAATTAGAAACTCATCAGAGGTATAAAAGTATATATTCGACCACATCAACCCATCCAGGTCATCCTGTAGCTTTATCCTCATCAGAAATTCTAACGTCCTGTACGAGTATCCTTGGCAAACTTTGTCATTGTTTATTCCCTCATCTGTGTCGTTTATGTAGATTGTGAACCAAAATTCAAAGAATGACCACTGTAGCACACTATTTATGCGCACACACTTCCAGCCACGACTCGACCTGGGAGATAATTTATCTTGTGTGTGTATATATATATATATATATTAATAATATATATATATTATATATATATATATATATATATATATATATATATATATATATATATATATATATATATATATATATATATATATATTATGTCGTGCCGAATAGGCAGAACTTGCGATCTTGGCTTAAATAGCAACGTTCATCTTGCCATATAGGACAAGTGAAAATTTGTGTATGCAATAATTTCGCCAAAATCATTCTGAACCTAACGAAAAAAACATATTTCACTGTGTTTGTTTAGTATTAAATTATTGTAAACAAATCTAAAATATATATAGTTGGGTTAGGCTAAAATAAATTGTTGTTGTTATAATAAGGTTAGGTAAGTTTTGTAAGATTCTTTTGGTGCAAAATTAAAAAAAATTACATCAACATTAATGAAAAAAATATATCTTTAAACGTATAAGAGAAAATTTTAGAAAGGACTTAATTTTAAACGAGTTCTTGCTAATTGACCAGTTTTACATATTCGGCACGACATATATATATATATATTATATATATAATATATATATATATATATATATATATATATATATATTGTGCTGTAATTTTCTTCATCAGTCTCCTCTGTGGGACAATCAGTTCTACTGAAATCAGTTTAGTGAAAAAGATTAGTAAATACGCAATCAAGAATGACCCTTTGTTAAACAGTGTTGATATTCATTTATCAAATTATATCTTTTAAGATGACTTCGAATTGCATCATCAATTACAGGCGGGCTTCGCTTTACGGCGTTACCCTAATGCAGCAGTTTTCAGTTATACCCATTCTTCATTTATTCAGACTTCATACAATAAATATATTCACCACTCACTATAAGCTAAAGACGAAAATATTTTAAGGTGAGTAATGTGCGTACTGTATATGCATTTTTTAAACATCAGACTTTTAGATGCATTTAAAAGTAAGAAAAAAAAACGCCACGTTTCACTTTGCAGCGATTCTAGTTTTACAGTAGTAGCCCGGAACCTAACCTGCTGTACGAGCTCTGCCTGCTTGTATCACATTGACTTCCCCACTGTTGAGATCACTGGAATGTCAGCCCATCTTCCTAATAAAATTCAATATTACACTTTAAGATCGTCAAATGTGTAACAGTGACATTGAAATGAAGACCTGATTATTTGACTGGAAATTAACCTGATTTCAACGCTTCTTGGTTTCCTTCAGACATACTCGTTGCCTGACATCGCAGCCTTTTTTGTTTGTCATTTGTGGTAAAATATGCGTTTTTATAGGTCTGTGTAACTATAAAAAAAATTAAAACTGCAAGAAATTGACTAGGCACCATTAATGTAAAATGAGGATATTTTGGGTGACAAGGGAAAAGGAGGCAGGGAGGTGTATGGAGGAAGTCTACCTACCTGGAGACTTACGGGGTGCAGTACCCCCGTGACTAGATCTTCGACCAGACCTCCAGGTAGATGAGGGCCTAATCAACCAGACTTTTACTGCTGGCCGCATGCAATCCAACGTTTGAACCACAGCCCGGCTGATCGGGCACTGACTTTAGGTATCTGTCCAGTTCCCACTTGAAGACAGCCAGTTGTCTATTGGTAATTACCTTTGTTTATGATAGGTTGTTGGACAGTCTTGAGCCATGGACACTTGTTTTTTTTTTTTCTTAGGATACTTACGGAGCCCTACTTTTCATTGGAAGGGGAAGGGGGTATGTTGCACCGCTTGACTAGTCTTTTGTTTTCATAGGGAGTGATTTTTGTGTGCAGATTTAGGACCAGTTCCTCCAGGATTTTCTAGATGTGGATTATGATGTCTTTCTCGACTGCGTTCCAGGGAATACAGATCAAGGGACTTCAAACGTTCCCAGTAATTAAGTTGCTTAACTAGACTAAACTACTTGCAATGAAGGTTCTCTAAATTCTCTAATCTGCAGTTTCACCTGTCTTGAATGGGGCTCTTAGTGTACAGTATTATTCCAGCCTAGAGAGAGAGAACAAGCGACTTACAGAGGAGGTTAAAGAAAGGGAGGTGTAAAATATTTATTGACGTATTAAAATTCATTAGTGGACCCCGCGACATTCGTTGCATTTTCATGTCTAAATTCTTACTGGTTGTCAATGAGAACATGTTTGGCGCACTCGGGTGATGCAAGATGACTGCACAGAAAGGCGCGCTATACTACGATGTTGCTTCGGCCTTATCCATCCACTTCAGAGGAGGGGAGGGGAAGAAATCCCAGAGTTCCTTACTACTTCATTATGGGAGGACGAGATTTCTACACGGAAGGGGCAGAGACTATCAGAGTGAACTAAAATACGAATGGAGAGTGACAAGTAACGTAGAGTACTAATTTTAAGTGTACCTTAAAGTATAGTGTACATTAACGAAAAAGGCACAATACAGTGACTGGAACAATACACAAATAACCCACACATAGTAGAGAGAAAAGTTATATATACAGGCTCACTCTTCCGTCAGTGACTTGACTGGCCCAAGTCGGACCGAAACGTCGTCAAAGCTTTTCTCTCTCCTATGTGCGGGTTATTTTTGTATAGTTTGCATTCCCATTTCTCATAGTTGTGCAATAGATCATTGCAAATAACCTCCCTCCGTGGTATATTATTCCCGCTTCAAGTAAACTAGTATAAAGGATACTTTAGGTCATTTCAGTGCCTAAAATATTTGTATATAATTTTCCAGAGTATAACTTTAGTTATTCTTTTGTTCTCTCTAGGCTGGAAATTACCTGACGATAACAGCCCCCCTTTATGGTGGACGAAATTTTAGATCTAGTGTGTGCACAGAGAACCTTCGCTGCATGTATAAATTAAAGTCAGTCGCCTGAATTGTTATGAACGTTGGAGGTCCTTTGACCTTAACTTCTTGAAACACGGGCGAAAAATAAAATGCATAATAATTTACACCTGGAAAATCGTAGAGGGTTTGATCCCAAAGATGCACACAAATAAAAGGAGACGACGGCTCTGCAGATGGCGCAAAATACCCCAGTGAAAGGCAGGTGTGGCAAGAGTACACAAAGCACATTGTGTAAGGGGCCCAAAACTATTCAACAACCTCCCATCATTTCAAGCCAGTTCCTGATCAGTCCGCCTGTGGTTTGTATGTTGGAGAGACCAGCAGTAACAGTTTGGTTGATCAGGCCTTGATCGACCAGGAGGCCTGATCTGGGACCGGGCGATGACCCCCCTTCCCCGAAAACATCCTTTAGATGTATCCATCAGTTTATAAAAAGTGCTAATTAAGTGGGGTATAAGAGGTAATAAGTGCCTAACAGGTGACGAGGGATCTCACTACCCCTCCCCACCCCAACCCCCCCGGATTGATGATGACAGTAATAATAATGGCACAAAGTTGGCTGTCACCACATCAACCTTCGCCACAATCACCACAACCAGTATCTGCATCATCACCTACCTCCACGTGTGAAATAGAGCGATAAGCTGCATAACCTAGTAAAACCTGGAGAATTACAGCGAGTATGGGGTTGTGGCAGCCCCCACTGATAACCCGATATAGTCGTTATCACGGGAATTTTATCTCTTCCCCCGAAGCACCAGCCGTAGTGTATCAGCTAGGCTGACTGGGTTGGCATACAGTTCCCGCCGTGAGCTTGATCATTCTTCTGCTGCTTGCTGTTTTCCCTAATCCGTCGATATGGCGTAAGTCGGATCTACAGGTGTTGGTTATTAGTATAGAGACAGTACACTTCAGTGGGTCATAAAATAATAACAATCGGTAACAGGTTGGTGATACCTTAAACTTCGCATGCTGAATTTCTTCCTATATTATCAGAGGTAAATAAAAAAGTAGAGCTATTGGTGGGTGATATCATTGTTGTACCTCGTGAGGTTGGTTGAAACAAACAGTAGTTAATTTGATGGTTCTAACTCGTGAGGTTGGTTAAAGCAAGTGGTGGTGGTGGTGATGGTGATGGTTAAGATGGTGGTTGTACCTCGTATGACTGATTGAACCAGCAATAGCGATGATTCATTTAATCATTATTTTATTTATGCTGGAAGAGCAAGTAGTTTTGAAATTTGAAGGCTTCATATAATAATCATTGCCGACTGGATAAGAGACTAGAATTCTTGTTTATAGATCTTCAAATGTCTGGCATGTTATCGTCAAGGTGATAAGAATACTCTTATTTGTTCACTATCAGTTTTATCTTAGTGAATGCACCCCCCCCCTACCCAGAATGAATGGTTTTAAGTAAAAATTTGAGGTAACTTTACGGCGTATATAGAAACTGAGAAAGCAATATTTGAAGGTATATATGGACCTGATTGAAGTAATTTATTTGAGCAAACCTTGACTAGGCGCAAGGAAAGCATACTTGAATATCAGTAATGAAGATGGGAATACAAAGTTCTGGCGCGGTAGGTGGAGAGGGAGGGAGAGATGAGTCAGTGTTGTGGGTAGGTGGTGAAAGGTAGACAATTGTCTCTTGCACTATGTCAACAAATAAAGCCTTGACTGTATTTACTGAGCGAGGTTGTTGGTGGCGGTTGGTGACGTCTGTGAAGCCCAGTCGCACCCCACAGCCCGTCCTGCCCATGGTACCCCATCCCTAGCATCATCCCACACCCCACCCTTGCATGAAACGCACTCTCCTGACACTTCACCCTTACACCCACCTTTTTCCTGGGACCCCCTTCACACCCACCTTTTTCCTGGTACCCCCTTCACACCTACATTTTTTCTGGGACCCCCTTCACCTACCTTTTTCCTGGGACCCCCTTCACCTACCTTTTTCCTGGGACCCCCTTCACACCCACTGTTTTTTCCCTGGGACACCCCCACACCCACCATTTCCCTGGACACCCCACACCCACTTTTTCCCTGGGACCCCCCCAACTACACTGCCCTTGAACCCTCCCTTTGGTACACCCACTCCTTACACTCCCCCTTCCATGCTACACCACTCCCCCTTCCCATGCTACACCCACTCCCCCTGCCCATGCTACACCCACTCCCCCTGCCCATGCTACACCCACTCCCCCTGCCCATGCTACACCCACTCCCCTGCCCATGCTACACCACTCCCCCTGCCCATGCTACACCCACTCCCCTGCCATGCTACACCCACTCCCCCTGCCCATGCTACACCCCTCCTTACACTCCCCCTTCCCATGCTACACCCCCTCCTCACACTCCACCCTGCCCATGGCACCTCCACCCTTCTGATGACACCGCCTCTTCTGTATACTACTGTCGACCGGTTTTAGAAATCCTTCACCTCCAGGGGCTCCTATATTAATGGTTTACAATACCGACACTTGTCTGTTCTGGGGATTCTTCCACACCTCCAGGTCTCAGACCAGAGGCCTTCTGGATTGGAAAGGAAATATTACAGGATTAAGAGCTATTGAGAAACATAGGGAAATAAAATTGTGTTTACTGAATGTAAGTAGAAGTTCGCAAGATTTACATGTCATCTTGCGTGTTCACGAGAGAGAAGGAAAGATCAGCAATCCTGCCAATGCAAAAAAAAAAAAAAAAAAAAAATTATTTCGCACTTCTTTAGGAGATAGTAGCCAGCAAACATCCAGGGAGATACTAAGTTAATGCCAATGAGCTGATGAATAAAATATACATGCCTGCGCAGGAGGCTTCTTCAGTCAGTAGAGGCGACCTTTTTATTTTTAACGCTGGCCACATTTGTTAGCATGATCTTTAAAGGGCCCCGTCGACTTGTGATGCAATCACCAACTGCTGCCTCTCGCCTCTGGTTCCAGTATGTTTTACCCCGTGACTATGCTTTAGATAAAGGGACAACATTTTAAAACTCTCTACTTGTTCCATTTTTTCCAATACGAGTCTCTCTGAAGTCGACTGAAGCCTGCTGTGTAGGCGAAACGTTTCGGCAATAAATATACCCAAGTGCTGCACATAACGTTACTCGTTATGCAGGAGCCATGTTTAACACTAGCATTTTTCTTCTACCCTTCCCTTGGAAGTGCGTTTCCTTACCTTGAGTTTACTTGGAGTCTCGTCTGAAGGTCACCGCTTCCGCGGCCCGGTTGCTGTTGGGTATTTGATCCAAGCAATTGGAAATACATATGTAATCTCCTTCCTTCCTTGGGTCAAACCTGATTATCTCCCATTCTGCAGGAGCTGTAAAACTTTACCTGTTTAGCGCTTTCCAATGATTGGTATCAGTCCTCTGCGCCCTCCTTTAGTTCGTTAAGAAATACCACTACTCGTCTTCCCCCCCTCCAGGATTGAACCCGGTTCCTTCGGTAGTTGAATGGGCTACCACTTGAGCTCCGAGGTATTCCATGAAATGGATAAATTTTTAACTAGTAACTGTATCTCAGTTTACGTTTGCAACTAAGAAAAACGTGAAAATCGGGAGTTTTAAGAGTGAATGAATGTTATTTATTGTGCAACAATGATATTCTTAGAGAAGCGGGTATGTGAAATTTAAGTGAAGCCTATCGCGACTCCTTGCACCTTGCGAGTCAAGTGTTGAGCAACGTCTCGTACTTCTGCGCTGGAGTAAGCAGGTAGAGGGAAACGCAAAGCCGGCAGGCAGATAGGTACACCATACACGCAAGCAGGCGAGCATGAGGCACGATCGCATTTACAATCGGGTAGATAGTAGGTACATCACATCCACACATTCAGCTAGGCAGGTGGGTACACGCCCACAATCAGGCATGCAGGTACACCCACACCCACACAATCATACAGACAGGCAGAGGGTGGGAGAGTGGAGTAGTGATCATGTAGCAATACGTGAGCTACACAAGGGAATGTTTGTGAAGGTATGCTGCCCGCTGTATGACTCCCACTCCATGAGTGCCTTGCCCTCCCCAGCAGCACATTTATACCACTCGTCTGCATCACATCTCTTCGCCTTAAAACTTCCTCCTGGGTGTATTTCCCTTCTACCTGTTGTACATGTCAACTCCTTAGTGCCGGTGTAAGAGCAAAGGTTGTGTAGTTGAAAAGTGGTTGATGATGAATGGGAGTGTTTCTTGGGCAAGTAGCCTTACTGATGTCTAAGCAGCTACGGTTATTACAGGAAGGGCTGCACGATTGTAGTCAATTATCCTAAGAGACACTACCGTCGTGTGAAACACAAGCCTATTTTACTCTGGCAGGATTGTCAGTTTTGTCTGTTGAACATTTAAGATGCCTTGTAAATCTTGTACTCTACTGATATTCAGTATGCACTTAATATTTTTGTGGAGTTCTGTATTTTTGTTTACATTTCCTTTCATTTTGTGGAGCTTGGTCTTGGATCTGGCCGTGGGAGTGATGGTTTCCGGAACAGACAAATAACAGCAGTTGGAAGATGGGTTGCGAAGTTGCAAAACCTTTATATACATTTTTTTTTTTTAAATTCGTAGATCCTTGACGCAAATTCTGAAAGTTTTGTTGCATTTATTGAAGTGAGTTGCGGGAAGTTTGTTGCAGCACTGTTTTCTGCATCTCCAGGCTCAGATAAGTACGTACTGAGAATAATAGCATGAATGTATTAACGCTAAAACAATCAGGTTTAACTCTATTCCCTGATGCATTCAGTCACACGACTGTGTGGGGGGGGGGGGGGCTCTATATCTTGAGCAAAATCTTGATGAAATGGAGCCAAGATACCAGATCAGCAAAAAATTAATCTGATAAAAATAATAACCTGAGTATTTTACCAACAGTGTAATGCCTGTAATGCCTGTGCTTATGACAAGAATTTGACGATCAGTTAACAGAGCAAATATATTAGTTTGGACAAGGTTACACTCTCAAGTGGTGGAGACTGCTACTGCTATTTAGCCCAACACCAGCTGGTGGCAGCATACACATTGCACCAAGCATCTTCCTTCTGTTGTGGATATACTCCAATTTTCTTAAGTGGGGTTTCAGTCCCACTAAACTGTTAGCAAGCCAATTGAGGTGAGGGAAGAATTTGTTTGTGGAAGGTACTGGCAAGGATATTTAAAGATAAGGAATAACAGTTTTTCTTGTAAAACAAATGGATTCGAGAGCATTGCTACATAGCGGAAAGAAAAACTAGCCGCTTCCATATTCCATTACCCCACGACGGGTTTCGTTCATACACGAGGTAATGAAACCTGTCAGCCTCTGTTGCTAGGCTTCGTCTTGATCATCAGATACCGTACATTGTGCAGGAGGTTGGTGGTAGTCGCAGGTCGAGGGGGAGCAACAGTCTCACAGACCCCTTGAGAGAGATTGATAGCATTTTCTTAAGTGTGTGCAACCTATTGCGCTTGAGCTTGTGTCTGGAGAAGTGCAAGAGCTAGGACAACCTAGAGGCTGCATCTCTCCGTGCAGGTTATTTTTTAATAAATCGGTTACACTAGTTTTCCCTTCATTCATCTGACTTCCTTTGATATAGCTCTTGTAAGTGGTGACGACAAAGAAAAATAGTTTTAAGTGAATGTAATAAAGATTACCAATCTTTCAGTTTTCATTAGGGAATAACTGTCATGTATCCTCCGAAAACCATAATTTAATACATATCTGAAGGATGCTTGATTTCGGGGGTCAACGAAATAAATATTATAATTATATATATATATATATATATATATATATATATATTTATTTATTTATTTATTATCACACTGGCCGATTCCCACCAAGGCAGGGTGGCCCGAAAAAGAAAAACTTTCACCATCATTCACTCCATCAC